CACACACACACACACACACACACACACACACACACACACACACACACCTTCAAAAGGCTTAATCTGGGCTGGAGCATAGGAGGGAGAACCACGTGTGTGTGTGTGTGTGTGTGTGTGTGTGTGTGTGTGTGTGTGTGTTTTGAGGTGGTTGGCTCTGAAGAGCCCCAAAGTCTGTCAATGTGCTGTGACTGGGAGTGGGTTGGCTTAGGTGCTATGGGGTAGGAAGGGAATTTGCCCAATGGGTGTTTCTGGAAGGAGGTGTGGTGGTGGTGGTGTGTGGTGTATGTTTGTATATTATAAAAATGACAACCCCTCCAAAAAAAGTGATAAAGACGCAGAGTCCATGCAGCTATTTTAATTGCTCTTAAAATCAGAAGAAATGAAAAAGAATGTCTACGCTGATACATTGTCTGTGTGGCAATGCAGTCAGGAAGTGTAATTTTCAAAAGCTTTCAAAGGAAGGAGCCCACCAAGCAAAATCACCTTAGGCCTACTGAAGCCTCAAAAGAGCCACCAGAGGGTCCTGCTGGGTGGGACAGGGCCATGGGGAGGAGGGGGTGATACGAGTGTCTCCAAAACGATGTGGGTGCCACTTCAGAGGGGGTGGGGGGCTGAATGGAGGCTGGGTAGAACACTGGCAGGCTCTCCAACTGGGTGCCTCAGTAGGTCTGCAGACAGATTTCAGGGCAGGATGGGCCAGCACTCAGGTGTGTGGGCATTTTTAAGGGTGAGGCGCATCAGATGGGGTGTGTGAGCATTTCACATGCCCACAGCACACAAAGATGTAGGTGAATAGGAGGGTGCAAGCGTGTGGCAGGGGAGGTGTGTAAGGATGTGGGGACTTGGAGGGCTGTTGGGAATCCACCATGCATCCTGGTGTGTATGTGCACTTGCGAATAGATCTCTTGGGACCTTCCCCATCCCCTATGGGGTAGCCATGATGCACCACTGAACCCTTTCCTGCCACAAAGACTCTGATAAAGACGGTCCCCACAGATTCTAGTCTGGCCTGGCCCATATAAAACCTAGTTCCTAGATGAGTTTAGCTGCCTGGGGGGTACCTCTCCCATTTCTCCATCCCCCACCCAACTTCTTTAGAGAAGGGGGAGTCTTCTCCTAGTCTTATTTCCTAGACCACCCCCTCCCCGTTCCAGTTCACTTCCTGTCCCCTAGACCTGACTAGTCTGGCCAAACTATGTGGAGGACACACAGTGCCAGCTTGCCACCTAGTGGTCACTGCTGGGCCCTGCAGCCCCGTGAACCTGAGTGAAACCATCCTGAGGGGGTGGGAGGTGGGAAGAGGGGTATCTTAGGATGGAGTGTGCAGGGGAGGGGAGGAGGGGGGCTCTGTGCCCCCTTTCAAAGTCAGGCCTGGAGGCAGGCTACTGGGTCTGAAATGACTTTGAGAAGTGTAGTTGGTGGAGACAGAGGGCCGCGTTCTGAGCTCAGGGGCCCGCAGTGGGTGCTGCCTGGCCGGGGCCCGAGGCCGCCGCGTGGGAAAGGTGGGGGCGGGGGCGGACCAGGGGAGCGCTATCTGTCTGTCTATCTGCGCGTCCCCCCAGCGCCTATCGCCCGCCGCTGCGAGCCAGTGTCGGGGCGAGTTGCCACCCGCTCTGGATGCGCTGTGTTCTGCTGCCAAGAGGCGCCCCGGGGAGCCCGCGGCGTTGGGGGCAGGAAGGGCACTGGGCGGCAGGCTGCCCTCCCGGGATGCGAGTGGGGGCGGCAGGCAGGCACCCCCAAACTCCCTACACCCAGGGAATGGCGGCGTCGGGCAAGCCCTGTCCCAAGGGTTCATTTATTCATTCACCAACAGAGAGCAAAAACGTCAGGTGATTCAAAGAAACCCGGCCTCCCTCCTCACCTCACCCCGACCCCACCTTGACTACTGAGTGAGCTCAGAAATCCTGGTTGGTGGTGGAGGATTATTTTAGAATATTCTCGAATCTGGAGAGTGTAAGAGTTCTAGAAGTGGATTGAAATTGCAATGAGCGTAACCAAGCCGATTCAGTGGCAATATGAGGTCCTCCAGTGCCTGGCACGCCATGGACAGCCTAACCTGTCCAGTTCAGATACCTAGAGCCATGCTCAGTGGGTGTTTGTTGGCTGACTAACTGAGACTCCCTAACAGGGGCTGAATGGCCTTGGCGCTTCTCTATTGTGGCTGGGGCTGAGGCGTGCCTGGTGGGAGGGGCCATGGGCAGGCACAAGGCCCCAGGGGCCAGTGGAAGGGGCAGCTTCAACCAGGGAAGCTTCCCCCAAAGGCTGTCAGACCAGCAGGAATGGAGACACCACCGGCTGGGAGGGAGAGGAACCTGAACGATGCAGTGGGACCAGTGCCACCCACTGGACCTCACCTGGCCCAGCAAGATGAGCAAGTGTCAGCCGCCTGGACTCCTTGCCCCTGGTGGAGGGGTGAAGCGGGGCAGTTCTTGACAGGCTCTGGGAGGTGGGAGGGGGGCTGGCTCATGTCCAGCTTGAAGTCCATTGCCCACTCTGCCTCTGGCACCCCAAAGAGCTGCTTGTTGAAGCAAGCTGTTTCCTGAAGCACAGCTACCAGGCCTGCTGGAATAAGGGAAGGACTCAGAAAAGGAGATGGAACCTAAGATGTATAGGCAGCCCTGGCTTTCTATCTTGCCTGGGGAGCTGGCGCCATCTAGTGGTCATAGTAAGGAGTTGGTGTCCAGCTCCACCCGAGAGAGCTGAAATGGGAAGGGCCAAGGAGCCCTGTCAACATTAAAGATTAAGTTATTTATTTATGTCAGTTGTGGGGCCTGAACTCTGGGCCTGGGCGCTGCCCCTCAGCTCTTCAGCTTGCTAGCGCTTGAGCCACAGTGCCACTTCTGGCTTTTTTGTTTATGTGGTGCTGAGGATTGAACCCAGGGCCTCATGCATGCAAGGCAAGCACTCTATCACTGAGCCACCTTCCCAACCAACCCTTAAAGATTCATTTTAACACTACTTTTCACCACTCTTCATCCTCCACCTCCCCCCTATGCCCATCCATCGTTGTCCAGTCCTTCTCCTGAGGGTCTCATTTGTAAACCAGAAAGTGGGTTGCTTGATGGTCTCTGCAGTCCCTTCCAGCTCTCCTTTTTCTTGCTGTGAAGTTCTAGGACTCTGTCTCTTAGGAGTGATGATCCTCCTCCTCACCGAGTCCCTTCCAGCACCTGCAGGCTATACATCCTTCCAGAGTCCCTCATCCATGTGGCGTCTCTTTGGAGCCTCTGTAGTGTCTCTTTGGAGCCTCTGTAGTCATGCCCATCGCTGGGTATAAGATGATCTGTGGATGATATGTCTCTCTGTGGAGCCCAGCAGAGAACATGGATATATGAGCAACCAGATCCACTAGCATGTCGTGAGTGCTGGGCTGGGAGTAGATCATGCTACTGTGACAGCCCAGGAGACAGGAACCCTTCATGGAAACAATGGCAAATCAAGGGATGAGGAGAAGGGAGGGATCTCAGTTGCTGGGAAAGGACACTCAAAAGCTCATGAGACTGCCTGGAACATGCCAGGAGGCAGCATAATGTACAGAGTCAGGGAACTAGGATTCAGCCCTGGAAGTCCAGAGCAAGAGAAGGAATTTGGTTTTTTGATGCCCATTCTGAGGCTTTTGAACTGAAGGCTTAGATACTGTCCCTGAACTTTTTTTTCCCTCAAGGCTAGTGCTCTACCACTTGAACCACAGCTTCACTTCAGGATTTAAAAAAATCATTTATTGGAAAGATAAGACTGTCCCAGACTTTCCTGCTTGGGCTGGCTTTGAACAGTAATCTTCAAATCTCAGCCTCAGGCTGGGCACCGGTAGCTCATGCCTGTAATCTCGACTACTCAGGAGGCACATATCTGAGAATCATGGTTCAAAGCCAGCCCAGACAGGGAAGTCTCTAATTAACCACTCGAAAACTGGAAGTGGCACTGTGGCTCAAAATGATAGAGCTCTAGCCTTGAGCAAAAAGAGCTTAGGGACAGCAAGTAGGCCCTGAGTTCAAGCCCCATGACTGACCAAAAAAGAAAAGCTTTACTATATTTTCTAAATATTTTATAATGAATTAATGTAGTAATTATAGAAAAATGCTTTTTTAAAATGACAGGTATGTTTTAAAACATACCTCATAATTTCAAGGAGACTAAGTCTAAATGTTACACTTCCTCATTTTCGTCTTTATTGTCAAAAGAAAGGAAGTTACTGTTTTTTATTTGCTTGTGTAAGTTCTTTATAACTAAGTCCTCTTATTTACTTCATTTTCATTCATTTTCTTCTTTTTTGAGCTTGCCATTAAACCTGAATGAGGTGTGCTTTACTGGTTTTCGAGCTATGACTCTTCCATCAGCTGGAGCTGGTTCTTTATGTACTTTGGCAGCCTTTATTTTTATTTTTTAATTTTTATTATAAAGCTGATGTACAGACGGGTTCTAGTTACATAAGTTAGGTAAAGAGTATATTTCTGCCAGGCACTAGAGGCTCATGCCTGTAATCCTAGCTACTCAGGAGGCTGAGATCTGAGGATCATGCTTCAAAGCCAGCGTTGGCAAGAAAAGTCTGTGAGACTCCTATCTCTAAGAAAATACTCAGAAAAAGCTGGAAGTGGTGCTGTGGCTCAAGTGGTAGAGCACTAGCCTTGAGCAAAAGATGCTCAGAACAGTGCCCAGGTCCAGAATTCAAGCCCCAGGATGGGCAAAACTGGAAAATAAAAAAAGAATGCATTTCTTTTGAGGCACAGTCACCCCTTTCCTTGCCTGCTTCCAGTTTTCCCCAGAGGCACCCACAACTTGTATAGTTCATTTTCAACATGGTGGCCCGTGAGTACTGCCACCGCCTTTGTTCACCCTTTGTCTCTCCATTTCTGCGCCTTCCCTTACACTCCTAAAGACATATCAATGATCAAACAGAACAAAAATAGAAGAAAACAAAAACAGCAAGCAGCCTTTATTTCAGCTTTAACTTTCATGATTTCTTCAGCTGTCAGGTCTCGCTTTTTCAGAAGCAACCCTTGGGGTCGTTTGCCGTCTTTGTCGCTGTAATCCTTACTTTCATCTGGGATCTGAGGCTGGAATCTGAGTGGTCTCAGATGGGCCCTTCCTTGTAGCCCACCTGCTCCTTGAAGTGGGACAGGAACACAGGATACTTGATTCTGCTTGACAGTATATACTCTTTTTGTTTTCACATCCACTTCCTTATACTTGTCATCATCCTCCTCCTCTTCCTCTTTTTGCAGTGCTGGGGATAGAGCCCAGGGCATTGTGCATGCTCTGCACTAGCTCTACTACTGAGTGACATGCCCCAAGCTTTAGTCAGGCTTTTGTGTGTCTATGCCGGTCCTGGAGCTTGAACTCAGGATTTATGCACTGTCCTTGAGCTCCACTTCTGGCTTTGATGACTAATTGGAGATGAGTCTTATGGAGCCTGCTGCTGGTGGCTCACACTTGTAATCTTAGCCGTTCAGGAGGCTGGGGTCTGAGGATTATGCTTCAAAGCCAACCTGGGCAGGAAAGTCCATGAGACTCTTATCTCCTGACTTACAAGTTTTGATATAAGAGAAACAAAGAGAGAATACATAGAAGACACCATAATCACCAAGAATCCTGGCCTGGAAGATTGGAGTGATGTGGCCACAAGCCAAAGAATACTGGCAGCCAGCAAAAGTGGAAGAGGCAAGGGACAGATTCTCCCAGAGAGCTTTTCCAGAGGGAGTATGGACCTGCCAGTACCTTGGTTTTGGCTCAGCAAAACTGGCTTCAGATATTGACTCCCTGATGGTGAGAGAACAAAATTCTGTTGTCTTAAGTCATCAAGCTAAGAGTTTAGTGATGGCCACAAGAAAGCTATACAAAGTCCCTTGCACATTCTAGATTTTCAGAGCTGCAAAGGACCCCAGCATGGTCAGATATTTATGTTCTATTGACAGAGTAGATCCAGGACTTGCAAACTTGCATCTGTCCCAAATATAGCTAGGGAGGCTGGAAGATAAGAATCTTGGAAGCAGGGTACTCATGCCTATAATCCTAGCTACTCAGGAGGCTAAGATATGAGAGATCATGGTTTGAAGCCAGCCCAGGCAGGAAAGTCTGCTGTGAGATTCTTTTCTCCAATTAACCACCCAAAAAGACTGGAAGAGGAGCTGTGGCTCAAGTGGTAGAGAGCAAGCCTTGAGCAAAAATGCTCAAGGATAACACCCAGGCCCTGAATTCAAGCTCCAGGACCAACCAACACAGACACAGACACAGACACACACAGACACACACACAGACACAGACACAAAGACACAGACACACAGACACACAGACACACACACACACACACACACACATACACACACACACACACGATTCTTGGAACAAGAATAGACAGAGCTTTAGTGGTCTCCCAGGTTGTAGGTGTAGATGGGAAGGAGGGAGAGCTGTTAGGAATCTACTGGAATCTTCAACCCTGAGGGAAAATTAGGGTGATGTTGGTGGGTGCCATGGCAGAAGTCAGTAGATTTGGGTGCTTTGCCAGAAGACAAGAAAATAAAAGTTGTATAGATCCAGAAGAAAGAAATACAATTCCACTGGGCACTGGTGGCTCACACCTGTAATCCTAGCTACCTAGGAGGCTACTATCTGAGGATCGTGGTTCAAAGCCAGCCCTGGCAGGAAAGTCTATGAGACTCCTATCTCCAATAAACCACCAGAAAAACTGGAAGTAGCACTGTGGCTCAAGTGGTAGAGTGCTCGCCTTGAGCTGAAGAGCTGAGGGACAGCGCCCAGGCCCAGAGTTCAAGACCCAGGACTGACTAAAAAAAAAAAATACACTTCCTTTATTCTCTAGTGATATAAAATGTCTATAGAAAATCCCACTGAACAAACAAAATCTGTGTGAAAGAAACAAATGTATCTGAATGTTAGTGGCTCATGACTCATGGAGACTGAGATCTGTTCAAAGCCAGCCCAGGCAAGAAAGTCTGTGAGACTCTTATCTCCAATTAACCACCAGAAAAACTGGAAGTAACACTGTGGCTCAAGTGGTAGAGTGCTCGTCTTGAGCTAAAGAGCTGAGGGACAGAACCCAGGCCCAGAGTTCAAGATCCATGTCTGACAAAAAAAAACGAAAAGAAATAAAACAGAAGTGGTGCTGTGGCTCAAAGTGGTAGAGCGCTATCCTTGAGTTAAAAAGCTCAAGGCCCTAAATTCAAGCTTGTTAATTGTGTAAGATTCCCAGAATTATGCATTTGTCAAAATCCATAGAACTGAGAAGTACAGGGTAAACTCTAAAAGTCATGGACTTTAACCAGGTGTCAGTGGTTCACATCTGTAATCCTAGCTACTCAGGAGGCTGAGATCTAAGGATTATGGTTGGAAGCCAGCCCCAGCAGGAAAGTCTATGAGACTCTTTATCTCCAGTTAAGCACCAAAAAGCCAGAAGTGGAGCTGTGGCTCAAGTGGTAGAGCACCAGCCTGAGCAAAATAGCTCAAGGACAGTGCCTAGGCCAGACCCTGAGTTCA